AATAAAAGAGCAGATTTGTGTAGCTGTTGAGAATTCACTTGGAGGGGAAGGGAAGGGAGAGAATGAATCAGGGGAATGGATTGATAGGTCATCATGTCACCCAAAACTGTTTTGTATTTTCACACATTCAGACAGTCAGACTTTATAATCATATAAATGAATGCAACTTAAGCAGTTTTAACTTCTGACTTTGAAGGACAAGTATGAGTTGCATTTTCACCCTTTTTTCACAACCTCATGATATCTCAAAGTGCTTTACCATTTTTGAAATGTAGTCAGTGTTCAGTGTGCAATAAATGACAGCCAATCGTATAGAGCAACTGGAGCCTCTGTCATCTTCAGCGTCTCTGAATTTTAAATTGGATCAGTTGTCAATGCAGCATAATAACTTACAGGGGCATGCAAAAGAATGGAGTGGGATTAACTAGAATGCTCTGGGGAACAGCCAGCTCAGACTCAATAGGCCAAATTCATTATTCTTTTCTGTTGTATGATTGTGCTTCTTGTCCTTTCTGTTGTCCTTTATTATCATTGACCACAATTCTTTCCATTTCTTGGTCTCTTGCCTGTCTCCTAGCTCCTTGCTTCTATGAAATGTTTGTAGTGTGCAGAATACTCGCTGGTCTCTCACTCATTGTGTTTTCTCCCTCTCTTGCTGCCTTTTTATCTGTCGTGCCTTGTCATTCCCCCCATTTCTGGTCACCTGTTGGATAGCTGGAAACAAGCTTAAGACTTCTAACCTGTGATAATAATTCAATAGTTTGTGTGGCTTTTCAAGTGTGTTGTATGCTTTAATAAAATTAGGGCTGATCTTCTACCTCACCTTCCTACCCTATTCCCGTAGCCGTCAATTCTCTTAGCATCCAAAAAGCTGTTCATCTCATATACCCCACCGATTGAGCATCCAAAGCTATCTGGGATCGAGAATTCCAAACATGGGTGATACAGGTGTTCTATTTGAATTGGAAACCATTCTGCAGAGACAGTATAAACTACTTACTTGAGTTTGATATGTAAAAGGGTTATTAATTTTGAGATTTGAGATTAATTGCTGTTGCAGAACATAATTGGTGAAAGGCACAGTGTAATGTGTTTTCTCGATTCTTTTTAAAAGAACATTACAATATTATTTTAGCTCATATGAATGGAAGTCAATAGGGACTCAGAAAATTCAATTTAAAACAGCACTTATTTGATTTTTGATGACACTTTTATATTTTTCAATTTCAGCTTGAGGTTCAGTCGTGTTGTGTATTCTTTCCAAATGAGAGTCTGCCATCTCCAAGTACCATAGTGGCAGGTGACATCCCAGGGACGGTGAGGAATTGGTACCATACTGAAGTGAATATGCCTGGGACTTTGGTCATCTGCTTACCTCAGATAAAAGTGATAAGTGCTGGCCACAAATACATGGAACCACTACAGGAGATTCCTTTTGTCATTTCACGGCCTATTCTGGACGAAGGTAAATTCTATTTGCTGTTCCGGTTTAGATTTGTCTGCTCAGTTTCTTGACTTGAGCCTCTTTCAGTCCTTGGCACAGCATCTACAAAGTTTTGAGGGTCACGCCAAAATGTATTAATTTACTCTTCATTACTTTAAAGTAAAAAGTTTCTTTTGTTCTGCAATTCCTTTCATTAATTCCAGATACTAAAGTTATTGGCTTAACTTGCATCATTGTCTTTACTACTGGTTACTACTGAGGGTTTGATAGAGTAGATGTTGAAATGTTATTTCCACATGACCCTTTGTTTTTGATTTCCTTTCACCAAAGTACAGTAACACTAATGAATCCAAAGGGAAATTCGGAAGAATTTTCTTTCACCTAAAGGGTGGTTATAGATTGGAACCTACTATCACATGGAGGAAAAACAGAGGTCGCTGGAAGCTCAGCAGGTCTGACAGTTCTGAGGAAGGGTCAGTGCTCTTGAAACTTTAACCTTGTTTATTTCTTCACAGATGCTGCTAGACCTGCTGAGCTTTTCCAGCAACTTCTGTTTTTGTTCCTGATTTACAACTTCCACAGTTCATTTGGTTTTTATCACATGAAGTAATTGAGGAACCCTAGCTGAAGCTACATAAATGTGAGAGAAAGGAATACGAGAGCATCCGTGATAAGCTGAGCCAAAGTGGATTGGGAAGAATTTTGTATGAGGTACAAACACCAGCATAAACCATTTAGACCACATGGCAGGAAATTCTTTGAGATCAAAACTTTTATAGATTTACAAAGTAGATTAGGGAGATAGTAGAACAATGGTTTGTTTTGTGACTAGTAATCTAGAGGTCTAGACACACTGGGGATATGTGTCCTAATGGCAATTGATGGAACTTAAATTCACATAAGTACCCTTCAAACCCATGACCACAACCACTTCGAAGGACAAGGGGATCAGATACATGGGAATGCCACCACGTCCAAGTTTTCCTCAAGCCACACACCATCCTAATTTGGAATTATATTGCTATTCCTTCAGTATCACTTGGTAAAAATCCTGGAAATCCCTAATGGCATTGTGGATCAACCTACACCAATGGACTGCAGTGTTTCAAGAAGGCAGCTCACAACCACCTTCTGAAGGTCAACTAGGGATGGGGAATAAATTTTGGCCTAACCAGCGATGCCTATGTTCCATGAATGAATTAAAAAAAATAACATTCGAAGTGAGATTTTAACTGTTACATCTATCACAAGTCTAATTTTAGATTAAGAGTCAGCTTCTTGCTAAACAGGTGAAGAGAGGTGAGGTGGTCGAAAGAAGTTGGAGATATAACCTGAAGGATGCTCTCCTAAAAAGTGCTGACCTAAATGCTGTGAAGCAAATACAAAGAGACCTAGGTGTATATGCACATAAGCTACTAAAGGTGAAGTGAACAGTTAATAAATTGTAAAGTATAGTATACTTTATTCAAAAAGACATGGAGTACAGGAGCAAGGATGTCCTGCTGAACTTGTAGAAGAAACCAGTTAGATCACAGCTGGTGTATTGTGTACTGTCCTGGGCACCATGCTATAGGAAAGATATGAATGGTTTGGAGAGATGACAGAGAAGTTTGTGAGAATAGTTCCATGGATGAGAAATTTCACATTTGAAGATAGATTGGAGAAGAAGGGCCTGTTTTGATTGGAGAGTAGATGGCTCAGAGGAGATCCAATAGTAGTTTTAAAAACCAAGTAGGCCTGGACATACTGGATAGGGAAGAAAGTGTTTCCTTCTATAAAAGGATTGGGAATGAAGGACACATATAATTTAGTTTACAAAGAAGCAAGCATTATGTGAGGCAGTTTTTTTTCACATAGTGAGTAGTTGGGGTCTGGAATTCACTGGAAGTTTGGTGGAGGCTGGTTCAATTGAGGCATTCGGGAGGGTACTAGATAATTGCATAAGTAGCAACAATATTCAGGGTTAAATGGAAAAGACAGGAGAATGGCACTGAATTATGATGCTCATTTGGAGTACTAGTGCAGACACAATGGGACGGGTTTCCATCTGCAATGTAACAATTCTGTGAATCTGTGTTTATTTTTGTGTAAATCACCAAATAAATATTTCTTTTACCTAGAGGGTGGTTACAGATTGAAACCTACTATCACATGGAGTAAAAACAGAAGTTGCTGGAAGCTCAGCAAGTTTGGCAGCATCTGTGGACAAAAATCAAAGTTAAAGTTTCAAGTCTACTGACCCTTCCTCAGAACTTACAGACTTGAAACTTTAACTTTGATTTTTGTCCACACATGCTGCCAAACCTGCTGAGCTTTTCCAGCAAAAGCTGTTTTTGATCCTGATTTAGTGCATCCACAGTTCTTTCGTTCTTTTATTTTCTAAGTGAATGGAAGTTAGGGCTAGCACTTAACAATGTAAGGGACTCATTTAGTGAGAAAAGGTGCGTTTTTACAATGTCATTGAACTTATCCGCCCAGAAAGGGAACAAGTGAGACTCCTGAATCTCATTCTTTCACGTAGAAAGTTCTTCCTAGATACCTTAGCACATTTTAATTTTATATTCTTTACGCATTTTATTATTTATCATTTTTGTGTGTTTCTTCTTTATGCTTTATTTCAACTTTTCTTTCTCTTTCTGCCCTAAGTTGATTCATATTCACCTAATTTGTTTCTGCAATTTTCCGGTTTCTTTTAGTTTCCTTAAGCATTAGGAGGTAATGAGATGGACTGTTGGTCCCATCGTTCACTAAAACTCCAGTTGAACTATTGTCCTCACCTCCCGATTGTCACCTTACACCAATCTGTGATGCAAAATACTTTCAATCTGAAGAGTGAGCAAAACAACCTAGATGTTGAGCCACACTGCAAGATACCTTACAATGGTAGAATTAGTTAGGTCAAGATGCACATGGTTGATGTGACCAATTTCAAGTCCAGCATCAAGAGTGTGAGAACTTGCAGGTAAGTGATATGATTGCCAAAACTGAATTTGCGGTTCATATCTGAGCTACCCATTTATAACTGAGGAGAAGCAGATGTTTTACCTTTTTGGCACAAGTTTTATTCAGAAGAATGTGCTTAAGGATGACTGTAAGCGAGCTATGTATTTTAGCAGTGATCTATTAGTAGAACAAATAAGCAGATTACATTTTTATACAGTAGAAAACACCACTCTGTTCATGGTATTTTCTTCTCAAATGGTTTGCCTCATTTGAAGACTTTTACTGTCAACCTCACAGAGACTGTTGGCTTAATCATGCTAACTGATGGCAAACCTCAAGGTGGAGGAATGTCTTAATAAAATAAATAACATTTTTTGTAGATGGGTATCCAAATCAGAAATAGTGCATTAATCACATCTAGAAAGTCTATTCCAGTAATGATCCAAGCTACCTTTGCTCTGACTGTGCTATTGCCAGTAAGTGTCTGTTTTCATATTACATAAGTAAAAATTCGGCTGCAGTGAGTCACGGCCTATAACATCACTTCAGGGTCTGATGAGTTTCATGAACCATTCACATTCTGCTTTTGTGGTTAATGACATCAGTAGATTCCCTCAATTGTTTTGTCAGTTAAATATGTTAGTTGTTATTTCATAACATAGATCATAGAGATGAAGTAAATATACATATGTTTCTTTCCCTCACTCGACTTTTTGCCTGATTCCCATGTTTTGATTATTGATATTGCACTTGCACTGCTTTTGTCATTTTTAAAGTTAGTTTTCGTTCTTTTGCTGTTCACATATTTTCTCTTTGCATTTTTAGTATCTCATTCTTATTTTTCTCATTCCCGCACTTCCACTGTTTATTAAATAGAAATGTGGAGTTGCTCCCTTTTAAATTAATTTGCATGGAGACTTGTGGTATTCGGAGCAGCTAGTAGGCTGGAAGAGAATGGAAAGAGTGCTAGTACACATTTTCGGGAAGCATGACACAGATATGCTTTATCTGACAACTGAGGTCACATGCTGAGACATCCCAGGAACTGATCCAAAAATTTGTAGATGTTCTAGTTTGTTTGACTTGACAAAACAGTGTAACTGCGGCTGATTGATTCACTGCAAAATGTACTTGAAATGGCCCTATCCACATCAACACATTGATCTTTTTTTCTCAAAGTGAGTGGATAGGCATTTAATCGACTTGGATGACCTAGATGCCGGTTATCTTGGTACTCTTAAATTTTACCTGTCCCTCTGCACAGGCAATGAAGGTATGCCTCTAAAGCTGAGCAGCTTTGTTTAAGAATGTGGATCAGGACTCAATGATGTTGTTAGGTCTCATTTTCATTTTAACCTGTTGATGATGGCAGGGAATCTTGTTTGGTCTTTCTTGCGTGGTAAAATTGATCAGGAAGAGGATTGATAAGAACAAAAGATAGGTTTTTTAAATCTGCCTTTCGTGGATCAAAGCATAATATGTTTCTTTGGTGTCTCACAAGGAAATTTGAGAACTTCCAACCCCTCACCGACCTCCACTTCACACCTCTTCTGTATCTCTCCCCACACCCACTTCTCTCTCTGTTTGTCTCACCTACACGCACATGCACTCACACACACTCTTTGACATTGAATTGTGTAAGCAATTTCAAACTCACAAGTTGTCTCACCAAATTCTAAGTTTGTCACTATTCAAGACACCACAGACTGTAATATAAATAAACAAGAATGGCATTTGTGTCCCTCCTTTCACAACTTAAGGAGGCCTCAAGGTGCTTCAAGTACATCTCATTAGGTTGACAAACACAGCAACCCTCTTCCACCAGGAATTCACTTTTTTTGGCTTTTGTAATGTGGACAAAGTACCAGCTAATATCTGATACAGCAGTGAAAATAATAATCTGTTTTCTGCTCTGTATGTTTGAAGAGATGTTTACTAGGTTATTAAATCATCTCCATATATTCTGTCCTTAGATTTTTCATGTCCGCCCAAGCCACTGGGATGGTTGGTGATTTACACCCAAGTGATCTCTTACATGTTCACTGTTGTTTCAGCCTTAATTATAAATTCTGCTCTGG